TTAATACTTAAAAAGATCTCTCTCTTTGTTATTGGTATTTGTCGAGAATTAGGTACGTCTCTGCAACTTATTGAAATTTCAGGAAATTGCTTATTAGAACGTCTATTACCCGACATTCCACAAGGCGGAAATGGATGACAATGGAGAGATAATTCCATCTACCATCAAGAAGTTTAAGTATTAGTAAAAAATTATGTGCAATAAGTGACTAGCCACATATAAGTAGAGAGTGTTTTTGCAAATAAAAGAAAACAAATTGACATTCACCAAACTAAACATTGGCTTGTTGTTTACTAAAGTTCGAGCTGCATGCATCATTCCCATATGTTAAAGTAAGAGAGAGAGAGAGAATCTTGGGTAAATTTCCCTTGAATTGAATATTGAGTGTGCACATATATTTATACAAGTAGAGGAGTGTGAGGTTTGTTCTCCCAAGCAATGTGGGACTAAAACCCACTACAATACACTATTATCAACAGCCCCCTTCAAACTCATGTTGGATCAAACAAAGTGAGTTTGCGTACAAGAAACTGGAACCGATGAACAGGTAAGGCCTTTGTGAAGAAATCTGCAAGCTCGTCAGCGGATGAAACATGAGGAAGTAGAATTGTCTTGTCCTTGATAACTTGGTGACGGACAAAATGAGCGTCGATCTCAATATGTTTGGTCCTTTCATGAAATACTGGATTATTAGCAATCTGGATGGCACTCTTATTATCACAGTAGAGAGGAGTAGGAGTCGTAACAGAAATACCGAAATCACTGAGAAGGCGACGAAGATGAATAATCTCTTTAGCTGTTGTGGACATTGCACGATACTCTGCCTCAGTACTGGAAAGAGCAATAACATCTTGTTTCTTACTTCGCCAGGAAATAAGGGAATCACCAAGAAATATACAATAACCTGTGGTAGACTTTCTGGTAGTTGGATCACCAGCCCAATCAGCATCAGAATATGCACAAAGCTCTAACTTAGATGTAGCAGGAAACAAAAGTGAGCGAGTGCTAGTACCCCGGAGGTACCGAAGAATCCGTAATAAGACAGCATAGTGTACAGAACGTGGGGCACTAACAAATTGACTGACAATACCAACAGCATGAGAGATATCTGGTCGAGAGATGCACAAATAGACCAACTGACCAACAAGATGTCGATATCGGGTAGGATCAGATAGAGGCTCACCGTCAGTAGAGCAAAGTTTGACATTCTGCTGGAGTGGAGTATCGACAGTTGTATTATCAGTTAACTCAGCTTGATTTAGAATATCTGAGAGATACTTCTGTTGAGACAGTAATACACCCCGCGGGCCTTGAGAAATTTCTAGACCAAGGAAATACCGAAGAGATCCAAGATCCTTCATGTGGAACTGTTGTTGCAACTGAGATTTTGCGTATTGTATACCTGTCATATCATCACCTGTAATGATCATATCATCTACATAGATGAGTAATAAAACCCTGCCACGCGATGTAGTGCGAACAAACAGAGAAGCATCTTGATGACTTTCTATAAAGCCCGCTTTGAGCACAACATCGCGAAAACACTCAAACCAAGCGCGGGGTGCCTGTTTGAGACCATAAACAGCACGACGAAGGAGACATACATGTCCCGGAGGAATATTTGACCCTGGAGGCGGTTGCATATATACGGTCTCTGATAAAGAGCCATGAAGAAAAGCATTTTTGACATCCATCTGGTATAAGGGCCAACGATGAGCAGCAGCGACCG